CCAACTGCAACTTAGTTAACTGTCTCTGCTGGGGTTAGAAAATCTGCCAAAATAGTGTTGAATTAATATATTTATTATTATATCAGTAGTCAAAGTGAAGTCAACATTCTATATCAGAGAATCCCCATAGCATGTATATATTTATATACATATTATTTAACAATTCCTACCAATTATAAGGCATTTAAATGGTAACATTTTAGCTCAGCCAAATTAGACACTAGAGGAATGAGCAGAGTATTGGTACCTATTGCCAGGAACAAATATAACCAGGAAACCAGGGCAAAAAAAAACATGAAGGCTAATCACTGAACCAGGATTTCTTTTATACTTTGAAGTTGGATGGAATTAAGTTGTCCAAGATAGAGGATAAAACTCTCCAGGATGAGGAAAGAATATTGCTGATGCATAGAAATAATAAATTTAAAAAAACTTTTATGGAATAAATGAATAAACTTGTACCTTGTCTCTGTTAGTAATGAACTAAAAAAGCAAAAAAAAAAAAAAAAAAGATCAAAACCACACAGGATGAATTAAGGTAACTTCTAGTTGCAGACCAGAGAAAAATACTAAGCAAGAAATCAAAGCCTGGCCAGTCACCAGTAGCTCAGTCCTGTAATCCTAGCTACTCTACTGAAGAGGCTGAGATCTGGAAAGTCCATGAGACTCTTATCTGCAACTAACCATCAGAAAACTAGAAGTCCAAAAGTGGCACTATGGCTCAAAGTGGTAGAGTCCTAGCCTTGAGCAAAAACAGCACCCAGGCCCTGAGTTCAAGCTCTACAATAAGAAGGAAAGAAAGAAAAATGAAAAAAAGAAAGAAAGAAAGGCAGAGAGAGAGAAAGAAAGGCAGAGAGAGAGAAAGAAAGGCAGAGAGAGAGAAAGAGGGAGGGAGGAAGGGAAGGAGGGAGGAGAGGAAAGAAGGAAAGAAAGAAAGAAAGAAAGAAAGAAAGAAAGAAAGAAAGAAAGAAAGAAAGGAAAAGAACAAAGAAAAGAAATCAAAACCATGAGATGAAAACAAAAGCTATATATGACTCCCCCCGCTAAAAAAAAAAAATTGATATCACAAGCCCAAGAAGATATATGAGGGTTAGTGGAAATCATATCCAATGGATCGAAGAGAAGGAAAAGCCAAAAATGCAAAACACTGTCAAGTCAAAACATTGTGGGGGGGGGGGAGTAAAAGGAATACAAAAAAGCTGAATGTGCTAGACATCCCTTCTCAAAATGGCTTCTCCCGGCCATACAACATTGTGCTGCTCCTCCTCTCCACTATGTATCACTGTAGGCTGTCAGAGCTGCTGGTGAGAATGCTTGTGGGTGTGAGTCACCTTGGTGAGCGCTCATCGGAGCACCCACAACAGTCAACACTATAGCATGGCTAGTCTTTTAGATCCGGGTGTGAGTCACCTTGGTGAGTGCTCAGTGGAGTACCCACAACAGTCAACACTATAGCACGCTAGTCTTTTAGATCCTAACATATTTGTGGTTTTAAAAGTACTTCTTTATCTCCGTGGTTCCAGTTTTTAATGATCTCTTTGAAATCCCAAATCAGAAGCTTTCTGTGTGATTTCTAAACTATTTAGTGAGAGCTAGTTGATTAAAGGGGGGGAAAAATGAAGAAACTGAAGTGCCTTCATCTGGCATATTATTAATTGCCAGGGTAGAACAGTACTTCCAATTGCTTTTCTCCCTCAGATCCTCGTTAAATGGCAAGGATCTGGGTCAGCAAAGCTGGGGTTTTAGTCTTTGCTCTTTGAAAGACTGTCTTAGCAACTTTTGTTTCGCTTCCCAGTCTGTAAAGTGAAGATTGTTTTTGGAGTAGGAGAGTTAACTTGATTTTCTTGGGCAACTTAAGGAAAAGGAAGAGCCCTGAGCGAGTGCCTGGGTGCTGTCTCCTGACTCACTGGCCACGAGCCCACAGTCACTCTTCAGAGAGTTTCTCAGTTCTCCATTACCCAGTCTTCTCATCCCGGCAGTAAAAGGGCTTGCAGTCATTTCTGCACTGAAGACACAGCTCTCACTCTGTGAGTGGTATTTTATTAAAGCATGCTTTGTTTGTTTGTGTTTTCGAATTTCCTTTCAATTCTACTTTAATTTCTCTCTGAACTAGGGAATTGCAGCCCAAGGTATTTTCACCGTTTGGTACTATCTTTTATCTATTACTAAATCTCCAGAGAGACTGAGTGAAGTAGAATGTGGGTGAAGGCATGGGTAGACCATATTTGGAAGCACTGAGAAAGCTGGATAGGAATAAAGTAAAAAATGTAAAACAAATGAACAATGAAGAGAGAAAGACAGTACGTGTAAAACAAAATCAAAGATGACTAGGGAAAAACACTAATTAAAAGTAGGAAGATCTTCATCTCATCCAGTGGCTTCATTTTATAGATGGCAACACTGAGGCCCAGAGATCAGGGCAGTTAATTAATAGCAGAGATGGCAAGAGCAGAAATTATGTGAATTGAAGGAAATTTTGGAGGATGAACAAGATCACACCATATAGCTCAAGCTGACCCAGAGCTCTCAATCCTCCTGCTTCAGCCTCCTGAATACTGGAATTATAGGCATACACCATCACATTGGAGCAGGAGAACAGATATTAAGAAAAGAGTGCTGAAGCCGGGCGCTGGTGGCTCACGCCTGTAATCCTAGCTACTTAGGAGGCTGAAATCTGAGGATCACGGTTCAAAGCCAGCCCAGGCAGGAAAGACTGAGACTCCTATCTCCAATAAACCACCAGAAAACCGGAAGTGGCGCTGTAGCTCAAGTGGTAGAGCGCTTGCCTTGAGCTGAAGAGCTGCGGGGCAGCACCTAGGCCCAGAGGTCAAGCCCCATGACTGACCAAAAAAAAAAAGAAAAGAGGGCTGAACTGGAAATACAGAAGAAAAAGAGGAAGCAAAAGCATGAAGAACCTAGGAACAATTTTACAAAAGAGCAGTCAGTCCAATGCAAGCAGGAAATAGATGTTTACCAATAAATATGATAGAAGGTAATAGAACATGATATTTAAGAAAAGGTCTTCAGTTTTCTTCATGGTGTTGAATTGCATCTCCCTGCTTTTCAGATGTATACAAACTGTGAGTCTATAATTAAATTCTCTCTATATATCCCAGTGTGGTGACTCACACCTGTAATTCCAGCTACCGAGGAGGTAGAGATAGGGAGGATCATAATTTGAGGCTAGAATGAGGAAAAAGTAATAAAGCAAATTCAACTAATAAGATAGGTGTGGTGGTACATGTCTGTAATTCCAGCTTTGCAGGAGTCATAGCTCAGGGATTGCAGCCAGAGGCTACTTGCAGCACACCATCCCCTTCCAAAACTACAAGACCTTGTCTGAAAATTAACCAAGCCAAAAAGGATTAGGGATTTGGCTGAAGTGGTAGAGTACCTGCACTGGCAAGCCTAAGGCATTGAGTTGAAACCTCAGTGTCAAAAAAAGTTTTAATAAAAAATAAAATAGTCTCCAGTTCAGAAAAAGGACAAACTAGGATATTCAGTAAGCCTTAAGGGGGAAAAAGGACAAGAAATTTAAAAAACCAACTATATTTGAATTGGAAATCAGTTCCATCAATCACTATCAATCTAAACACAAGGAATTAACTCAATCTCTTTGAATCCTAAAGCTTCATGTTTAAAATGGATGGGTCATTCGTGTCTGCCATGGAGATTGTAAAAGTACATGAGACAGTACATGAAAGCTATCTGGCCTATAAATAGGAACTGACTAGATGGCAGTTCTCTGACACATGATGCATGCATTAGTTCAAGTTCCATTTTTTCCCCACTGTACTGGGATTTGAATTCAGAGCCTCCAGCATGCTAGATTTGAAGCTCTACCACTCTCAGCCTCCAGTCCTGTGAGTTTTTGTTTTCTTTTGTTTTGTTTTCTGGTTATTTTCAAGTAAGATCTTGAAAACTTTTTCTGATTGGGCTGTCTTCAAACCTAATCCTACTCTCAGTCTCTTGAGTAGCTAGGATTACAGGCCTGAGCCACTAGCACCAGGCTCACATCGCATTCCTTTAGTAACCCAAAGGTTGTGATGTGACGGCACAGTCTTCCCCAGATAGAGGAAATGAAAATAAATACGGAGGTTGCAGTGGAGGAGAAAAAAGCCAGCCACAGAATCTGTGTTTTGGCTTACGCAAGCTGATCCTGATCAACAAGGAACAGCTCCTTAGATGAGCCTGGCAGACACTGTACCCTTCCCACGGTCTCAACTGAGTATCTCACACCACTAGAAGCAAGGGTATCCAAACAGGGTTCACAGCAGGAAAAAGTGGAGGATATGAAGCTCCATGGAAAAGTACCTGACTAGCCCTGGCTTTACTGAATACAGAGAATGACATGGAACATTCCATAGTGGGAAGACAGTCATTTCCTTCTTCCTAAAGGATGAAATGGGGCCCACTTATCATTCTAGGGTTTAACCCCCACAGTCATCAACGCTTCCATTTATAACTTTTTCCTGCTAATATGCCAGTTAATCCTTTCTGACAGATCCTGAGGAATGGAATCACAATGCCAATTTCTTTATAAAATCAACCTTTTGACTCAGAGATACAGATGTGGTTAACAAGTAGATAATTTTACCCTTGATTCAGACCTCCCCTGTGGTTCAATATATCTCAGTTTCTTGGATTTATTCTTTCTCTGTGTGAGGGTATATTATACTACACATAACAAAGTATTTCATTGTGACATTTCTACACAATCAGCCCCATCTCTCTATTATGTCTTCAGGCCTATTCTTTTAAAATAAAGCATACAGAATCTTTTGTTTTCAAAGACAAGCAGCATATCATTTTCTTTTCAGTAAATTGTTTCTGTTTCTTGAATGTCAGCTCTGAATTTTTTAAAAAGTGTTATTCTTTTGATAAGTAAATACATAAATAAACCTTCTAATAAGGAGAGAACAAGGAAGCCTCTAAAAATGCACAGGGAAAGTTCGTGCAGATAATGCAGAGGCCCCTGGCAATGAGTCCTCAGCGCTCACCTTGCCCTTGTACCAGATGCTTTCATTTCCCTCCGGATCCACATCATCTGTCGTCAAGGTGAGGCAGACCAGTCTCCGTTTCAGCCCCTTGGCTTTAATCTGTTTCAGTGCTTGCTTTCCTATGAAGTCTGCTGGCTACAGAAACCCAAGATAATGATGATGAATGAGTGTTCAGATGCTGTGACAAGGTTAGAGATGCAAGCATTTAAATTTGTCTTTGCTATTTTCTCGCCAATTACACATTGAATAAAAATACAGATTGGATCAAACGTCTAGACAAATATTTCTTAGTCTTCAAATGACAGTATCAGCCACATAGTCCTTCAGAATATGTGAGACTTAAGGGAATAACTTGGGAATGAGAATTTTACCAGAATCACCTAGGCAGGAAAATATAAGGCATTATACTGCGATGGTAGCTTGGGAACTTGGCCCTTGTCACTTACCGAAAGGTCTGAACAGTGATATGGGTAAAGTACAACTCAATTTTTACCTACTGGCACTCTACAAGAAAGAAATATACTTTTTTGACATGAGATGTTAAAAACAATCCCAAAATGCTGCACATGTTTTCCTTCTTCAGAATAATGGTCCCTAGGATATAGAGTATGGTTGTTAGTTCATCAGGAAGCATGTATGGAAACATTCTACATGAGAAGCATCATGCTTGGCCCATGTGGGTTACAAAATCAGACATGGGCATTTTGAAGGAAGAGCACAGTCTTCATCTGCTTCTCACCCTCCCCCCACCCTTTCTTCCATGCAGTATATGACAAGTGACATTCCTATTCCCAATATATTCCTGTGGGTAAGCTCAAGATATTCCAATTTAATGTGTTATGGAGATAAATCTTGAATCCATTTTTATGGGATTTATAAAATAAATAGAGGGAATTAGGCAAACTCAAAGACTCCCATTCTTAGTAAAATACCTCACAACTGAGTAGCACACACACACACACACACACACACACACACACTCGCACACACACAAGTGAGCAAAGACTCCTCAGTGGGGACGCTGAGCAAGAGGGTATCCAAGAGGGAGTGCTGGCCTCCGGTGAGAAGACAGGGTAAGTCTTCTATAACAGGAGCCAAACAAGCACCTCTTATGTTATGGGGTGAAAAGGGAATTCATAGCACACATAAAGCATATCTCTGCTGAATGAGATTAGAGATTATCATAAAAACAAAATTCTCAAAATGTTTCTTCTATCCAGACTGCTTTCTGTAAAGAAAGAAGAGAGGGTTAGGGAAGAGAGGGGAAAGAAAAGAAGGTGGCAAGAGGGCGGAAGGGAGGGGAAATGAAGGGGAAAAGGGAAAGAATAAGGAGGGAAGGGTGGGGAGAAGTGGGAGGAGAAAGGAGGGGTGGGAAGGGAAACACAGAGGAGGGAAGGGAAGGATAGCAACAAACTTTAATATCCCCAATTGCCACAAAAGGAAAGGAAGCAATATTTCATGACAAAGATGTCCTACATCACAAACACTTAGGATCTACACGTTTAGGATCTACTTGAAACATTTAGAACTGACTGCAGGAATGCCCTGTGGCCTCCCAGGGCCCTAACATGCCCTTTGCCAGACATCCCAATTCACTCCTTTACTGATTCCAAGCTTCTAGGATGAGCCACAGCACAGCATAATTTCTATGGCAATTGTAACTTCAAATTGCTGACAGTGGGAAGCTAAAGACAGCCCCATTCGCCCAAGTTAAAGTAATGTGTGCCATGAAAGTCCAATTTTCTCTCCTTCCTCAGTGTGACTCAGATGGTGAGAACCATCTATGCAACTTTATTATAAAGCCAGTGCACAAAAACTTTAACAAGATTGAGACCCATGTTACTTAATACAGGAATAATGGGAACACAGAAAGACTTGGATTTACTTGAATTAATATATAGGGAAAATTCATGATAAGAATCCTAACAAAAGTTTGCTATAGATAAAATATGGATATCTAGATACAGAAAGACTGTAGAAAAATGACACACATTGTTACTCTTTTGAAAAGGAGATTTGCTGCAATAGGTAAAATGATGACAAGGTAAAATGCCTTTTAGAGTCTTTGGCTACATCTGAGTCAATAACTGCAGTAAAAATATCTTGTGGCAGACTAGTGAAGAAGCATTTAGAACAATTCAAGTGACTAACGCTTTACCTGGTGTGATAGGCAAAGTGCACTGAATCCGACAGTGTTCTCACTTCCTGTCATGGGAGTCTAGATCTTCATGACTAAATTATTTAGGTTTTGAAAGTCCTCTAGTAAAGACTTTTCTAGCAATTATTTACTCATTTGTCATTAAGCCTCTACTGTGTGTATTATTTAGAGCTAATAAAACATGATCTTGTAGCTTCATAGAGGGGAAAATGTAACCCTCTTTCTGTCATACAGCAACATGTCAGTACTGAATTACGTTCTCTCTTCAGTGTTTGAACAAGGCAAAAAAACAATTTGAGATGACTGAAAACATGGCAGGCTATGACATATTGATACCATTATTAATCAGCAATAGCAATTGTGAAACATGATTCATGGGTGGTTGTATTCTAGGATTATAAACATCACAAATGTGTTTCCGGAGTGTGGTGATATCACTTCGCTTCACATATGTGTTGTAAATTTAATGGGTCTAGGTGTGAAGGGAAGGCAACAAACAGTATGATAAAGGAGGCCCCAGAGTGTGGGGCTGCAGTCAACAGTCTTCTAGCAAGTTGCTGGGGTTGAATTTTGAGAGGTGAGTGTGGTTTCATAATGACTTGATCTGCATAATCTTTCCCTAGCATGGTTGTTTTTATATTATAATTCAATCTTCAATGCCTCACAGATGGTGCGTTGGAGGTCTAAAAGAAGTGAATTAAGTAAATCAAATACAGTCCATCAGCAAATCAGTTAAGAACCAAGATTTCAGAAAGCCCAGCCCTGTTCTTTTCCTCTACTCTGAGTCTCCTCCATCAAGCCACTGAGACAGGGACACCACTGTAGAGACGGTAGAACTGTGTGTGATAAAGTTTCCAGCAACTGGGGTTCAGGAGTGCTACATAAGAGCTACTAGAACTGATGCCAAGATCAGGATGAGGAATGCTGGAAGAGTATCCCTCTACATTTCCCAGTTCATAGCTGTACTACAGGTTAAGTAAGAGGACGGTAAGAAGGGAGGGGGAAGAACATTGTTCAGAAAAAATTACAGTTGTAAACACAATATTATTTATAAGTAACATTTACACTTATTAAGTCCTTGGCTATGTGTCAGACACTATGCTGAGGTGAAACTCAATAACATGACAACATAAACCAGCAACTTCAGATTTTGTCCATATTTTTTAGAAATGTGTGTGCCTGGAGTTGAGAACCACAGCAGACAAAATACTATAAACAAGGGGTGCTGGGCATGATGGCCCAGAGCTGTAAATTGGGCACTTGGAAGCCTGAGGCAGGAGGATGAAGAGTTCAAGGCTAGTCTGGCTCTATAGTGAGAAAATCTGAAAAATAGGAGGGAGGGAGGGAGGGAGGGAAAGGAGGGAGGAAGGGAGGGAAGAAGGAGGGAAGGAAGGAAGGAAGGAAGGAAAGAAGGATGGAAGGAAGGAAGGAAGGAAGGAAGGAAAGAAGGATGGAAGGAAGGGAGGGAGGGAGGGAGGGAGGGAGGGGGGAGGAAAAGAGAGAGGAAAGAAGAAGTACTCTAAATGACTAATCTCTTGACATTTTATTTTCAGGCGGTCTGAACCTGTTTCAGATGACATTCATTGCATAGTGTTTTTGTACTGTGGGAGGCTAAGGAAGAAAGATTGCAGGTTGGAGGTCAGTCCAGGCAATGGAGCAGACCATGTCTCATAAAAAAAAGAAAAGAAAAACAGCTTGAAGTTTAACACTAAGGAAATTCGACATCTCTATCTTCTACCTGTGGATTAGGAAGAGATCCTGTGAGCAATATTGTCCTCAGACATGAAGAAACAATATGACAACCACTACTACCAAATGCTCAGTGAAAGTAAGGACCACAGAGAAGATCCATCTGCTCCTCCTGACATGATTTCCCTTCCCACACTAACCCTGCTGCTGACAGGGGAAAATATAACTGGTGAGAGTATTCCACTTTCATTGTTCTTGGCTGGCCTTTCCAGGCTGTAGATTTTTACTCTGCCACCAAGTTATTAATTATCAGTGAAAAGAAAATGTGTCTGAAGGTTACTTTGAAAATGAAATTGGTGCTTTCAGACTGGCCCAAGAACAAAAATACATTTCTTTAATGAGTCATTGCCAAATTAACTATATAAATAGCCGTTCATGTCTTTGAAAAATGTATAAACTTCTGGGGCACTGAGATTATAGTATAAAAATAGCCTCGGCTTGGGTTTTCTTAAGTTATGGGCTTAAAACAGCAGTGTCTTTAAAGCAGCCAACTCCAATAGGCACTAGACATAGCATCCACGTACATGAAATAGTGAAGAGAAAGTGAATAATACTCATCTATTAAAGGTATGCATATAGCAGGCATGCATTACCTAAAAGCTAATGTAAATGTGTAAATTATATCCGTGTGCTTGGGGTGATTATAAAGATGACAGCGAACTTGCAAGAACATAAAGTCTGATTTGATTGTAGCAGTGGAGGAACTCTGCTACAGGGCTAGAGGAGTAGCTTCTGGCAGCCCAGAGGAAATAAGAGTAAAACAGCTATGGGACTTTTATTTTCCATTTATGTGGATCAAAGCCCTATCTGAAATTTTAAGAAAGTCATCAATTTCATTTCATTTTTAAAACACAAAATCCTTTCAGCAAAAATATAAAAAAATCCAGAGATACAAGAGAATCATTGTGACACAGGATACTGTGTCACAAACAACCCCCTCTTAGATACTGAAACATGCTTCTGTGTGTGACCCACAGAGAAATCCTACGGAAACCCAGATGCTACAATGGTAGAATGAAACAACTCTGGTCAGTTGTTAGTATCCTGTGCACCTGTGTGTATTTCACAAACATGGAGAAAGGGGTAGAACAAGTTCAGTCCCGGGGAAAAGGACTGATTTAATCTTGCCTCCTTGTAGGGTTCATTTCCTGTTCACAGAACTGGAGTCATTTCCAGATAAGGACTGTATGGCTCAGTAAAGGTAAAGGTATCAACTGAATAACAAAGT